CTTGATCTTCCTTGCCCTTTTCTCCACCATTTCTGCTGTTATTACAAGTTCTTTCCTTTCAGCTTTTTTTTCCCTTCTCCACCCCCTTTACCCATCCTGCATTCTTGTATTTCTTTGAGTTGTCCCATAGTTGCGCCCAGAACTGCACTGTTTCTTCTTTGTCAGGTGTTGGCTGGTTCATTGCAATCTCTCCGTTGATGGATTGGTAAACATTTCTGCTTCAACTGAAATTGGAGTGTCTGCCTATAGTGTGCAATTCAAGCTTCGTATCTGATTATTTTCTTAGCTATGGCTGTTATTTGCTGCTTTATTATTTCCAGTGCTTCCTTGATCTTCCTTGTCTCTAGATGATATTTCTTGATCAGGTATTCTTTAGTCTTCTTGTTCTTCTGCTTCTTCTCTTTCATCTGTTGTAGCTTACTTGCATCTGATCTTACCATGCTGATATTATTTTCCAAGCTGATCTTCCATTTTGGTGGTGCACTGTTTGGCTTTTTTTCTTGTTTGTTGATTTTGTATCCATGGTATTCAGTTATAACTGCAGCTGTGCTGTACATTAGTTGGTTTGTTCCTTGCAGTGAACTGGTGCTTATATTTGATATCACAGTACAATTAGTCCTTGCCTAATGACAATTGGGACCAGAAACTCAGTTGCTGAATGAAATTGTCGTTAAGTGAGACACCCATGTGACTGCTTCGCTCAATGACTGCAATCCAGGCACTCCCAGTTGCAGTCATTAAGCAATCTCCCAGGTCGTTAAGCAGAGTGAAAGAGCTGTCTGCTGAAGGATTTCACCTCCATGCGGAGCTGAAATCCTTCAGCAGACAGCTGTTTTGACTCCATCCTCTTTCCCCTCCCTTCTCTCAGCAATGAATGTAGCACCTGAAGATTTGAGGTCCGTGCCTTCGCACTGCTTAAGGGGGAAGGGAAACTTCACAGCAGTGCCAAGGCAGTGACCTCAAATCCCGAAGATTTCAAGTCCCTGGCTTTGCACTGCTGAAGGGAAAGGGGAAGCCTTGCAGTGGTGCAAAGGCAGGGACCTCAAATCCTGAAGACTTGAGCTCTGAAACTGCCCACTGCCACGTCCCCTCTGCTTGCAACCTTCCCTACCGGCTTCCACTGGGGAAGCTGGTAGAGAAGACTGCAAATGTTGATCACATGATTGCAGGGAGCTTGGCAACCGGTTGTAAATGCAAGCTGGTTGCCAAGTGCCCAAAATGATCGAAATCGCAGGATGTAAGCTGTTCCAAGTAAAGCTGCCTTTTGCAATCAGTCAATGGTGATTTTGTCAATGCCGATGGTCTTCAAGTAGTACTCCAGATGTTTTGGGATTGCTATTGGTACTGTCCTTGCTTTCTTTTGCCATAGTTGTTGTTGTTATTATTATTAGGTATTTTGGTCTATTTTTTGATGGGTTTGTTTTGTTCCTTATGTGCTGAAGCTGCCTCCTGTTCTCATTCTTCAGGAACTGGAAGGGTATAGAGAGAGACAAGCTAAAGCACCAGTAGGGAGCTGTAAGTAGAAGGCAATTTTAAAATTATTAATACTGTTTGTTCCAGATGTTTTAAATTAGGCAAAAATTCAGAAATTAAAAGAGATTATTTCACAGCTCACTAAATGGGAACATTATTTAATGATTCTGATTTATGTCTGGGGTGGGCAATTCATGGCCCATAGACTACGCCAGATCTCCAGCATCTTTTTCCCATTTGGGTTTTTGGGTGGAGAAGGTTTATGGGGAAATTAGGTCAATTTTCCTGTTTTATGGGGAGAGTATCCATGTTGCCCCTTACATTTTCCCAATTCCTCCCAAAGGTCTGAAAAAGTCAGCCCCACAACAGAAGCACTGTGGCCTTCAGACAAGACAAAAAAAGGAAATGCAGCTCCCAGGCAAGAAAATGTTAGCTATCCCTGCCATCAATAATTTACAGTAAAACTTCAATTTAACAGATCATTTGGGGTAAAAGGATGTCCATCAAATCCAAATGTTCGTTACTTAATGTAATTTACATCATTGACATAATTATATAATTGATGCTTTATGCAAATGACACAAATTGATACAAATGAGATAAAATATCAATTGAATAATTATGTAAAGATGTATATTTACATAAATAATAAAAACCCTCTGTTGTATGGACAGACTTCAGAAACAACAGACTTGTCCCTTATTTCAAGTGTTAAGTCTGAATGTAAATTTATGGTGTTCCATCCAACATCTGTTAATTGAGAGCCTGTTATATCAAAGTTTCACTGTACATTAAAAATGGGAGTAATGATTTCCAAACAGAGCAAGTGCAACTCTCGCCCGTCCTGTCTCCCAAATATTTGCTCATCTAGTCTGAGAAAGACTTACCCTTCACTGTAATCTCTAGGACGTGGCTAAATTCAGACTCCTGCAACTGGCTTCCATTGTAGAGCCCATACTGGCATCTGTACCTGCCCCCATCACCAGTCGTGACGTTCTCCAGAAGGAAGGTAACAGTATGCTGAGACTCTGCAGCAGGCAAACTCTTCAGTGCCTTAGATTTGTTCTCCTTGAACAAAAAAAACCAAGCATCCACATATTTCCTGGGTGCAATACATGCTATCTTGAGAGAATCTCCTTCGGTTACATTGTCCGAAAGAACATCCAGGAAAATAAGCGGAGAGGGAAATCGGCTGAAAGATGCTACACAACCTAAAACAGCACAAAACAAGATGTGAAGGACTGAGGTTCATAAATATTGCATTAAAATATTAGAAAACAACGTATTTATGGGCATCAACTCTTTGCTATTTTGGCAAAATCTCCATTTATGAAAAGATGTTAATCAGCCTTATAAGTATTTTTAGCAAATGATAAAATAAACCAGAGTTGTATTTTAAAGAAACAAGGGTGGTAGTTAGCAAGCCATTCGTTTTTGGCAAAGTACAGCCCCACAAAATCTTGGGGGCAGTCCTGGAATCCTCCAAAACATATTGCCAACCTGTTATTTTTGATTAAATGTTAAATGTTAGAAGAGGAAGGTTATTAAACACCTGCTGAATAAACTAAATTAAGTATATTTTTCCCTAACAGCTGTGTTTATGGTTCAGGTTTCTGCAGTGGTTGGTGATGGGTCGATCCCTTCTCAACAGTATCTATAAAGGCACCAGTGCAGAGCCAGAAATATATCACTTCAATGGTCTTGCAAGAGCAGAGAGCGCCAGAATGGATATTCAGATGGTCCTAAAATATCCATGTGGTAGAAATGCCATGTGCTTTTTCTAGTGGCTGCTGCCATTAGGTTTTTAGCTTCTCTTGTTCCTTTTTCAATTTCAGTTTCATCTCATAACGCTCTCTGAATTTTCTACATAAAAATGGTTTGCAGTAATATGTGTAATCTTGCTTATTGTTCTTTAACCTTCCCCCTCCCACAATCTTTAGTGAAAAGATGTTTCCTTTCTCTAATTTTCTTGGGACAGAAAATTCTGTTGGTAGAAATGCCATGTGCTTTTTCTAGTGGCTGCTGCCATTTGGGTTTTAGCTTCTCTTGTTCCTTTTTTAATTTCAGTTTCATCTCATAACGCTCTCTGAATTTTCTACATAAAAATGGTTTGCAGTAATATGTGTAATCTTGCTTATTGTTCTTTAACCTTCCCCCTCCCACAATCTTTAGTGAAAAGATGTTTCCTTTCTCTAATTTTCTTGGGACAGAAAATTCTGTTCATTTGATCAGATCTCATGCTTCTATTATTATTATTCTTTGTTTCCACACTTCTATGGTTCCACTTTTACTTATATTGGAGCTAAGAGGTCTGGGGTAATCCCTTTCCCCCTGAAATTATATACCTTTTCCTTTTGCTGGCTTAGATCCAGCAAAATTTCAAGGAAAATAAAAAGCCATTTGCCTTCTGTAAAATGATTGTACAATTCCATTATTCTGCCTCAACAGTATCTTTAGGGGGAACATTTAACATGCTGATAGTAAAACAAAAAAAATTGGCAGCTTTGGAGCACTGTTCCAAGTAATGGCAGCTTTTTTCCCTGAAGTTTTCTGATTCCATAATTATGTATATATTTCTGTTTAAATTGAAATATAGTAACTTTTGTTTTCTCTATTTTTCAACATTATATGCACAGAAGGCGGATCTATATGTCAAATTGCAAATGATATCTAGTTTAAATTTATCCTGGGCAACCATTCAAAATCTATAAAACCTACCTTGTGAAACCAAATAAATCGATTATGAATAATTTATTTGGTTTCACAAGGTAGATTTTATAGGTTTTGAATTGTTGCCCAGGATAAATTTAAACTAGATATCAGTTCCATATTTTAGATGCAGATATGTATTCAGCTTAATATTAGCCTATCTCAAAATGTCATAAATTCATGTCAAGTTTCTGTTACAAAGAAATTGGTGTCAACCATCCTGACAACCATCCTTGCTTGATCCTAGGTTCAAAGCAAACTTATCACTTGAGGACAGGGAGATTTGGATTCTAACATTAGGATTTCAATATACATCTCATTTTTAGCTGTTATCCCCCTCCCATCCCCTCCATCACAATGGGTCTTCCTGGAAACCCCCTCCCATGAATCTTCCATTCATGCTGTCTTCTCTAAGAGTTCAAATATTGGTAAAATAGTAAGAGCTTTCCTACTATAACCATGCCCTCCACTTTCCTTCTCTTTATGATGGGATTCAGAAATGGATATAAGATAAAAGAAAAGGGAAAACATACCAGTTAGAAGAAAAAGAACTTTCAGCTCCACATTACTATGGAACATCTTGTTTTTGCAGACAGACATGGGAATCACCATTAACTTACAACAAAGTTTTGCAAGATTGGAATAACAAAAAGGAGAACATGCTTGCCTAATGAGTTTTGCCATTTGAGGAAATTGCACTTTGTCTCTGTGTGGCAAGCCACTTCTACTTCCTGCTACAAATCAACTTTATGGATTCCCTCTCAAATCATTTCCCTTCACCAAACCATGGAGTAGATAATCTGGATGGATTACTCTGTGTAAAGGCCATGAGCCCCATTCAGTATGGACAGTCTGAACAAATTCCAAGACTTGAAATTCTTTAATTCTCCATATATGTCTTTCAAAATAGTTCTAAAAAATGTTAGTCTGTTTATACTCCAGTTATAAGTATTGAACCCTAGAATACATTTCAATTCAAAATTCTTCAATTTTTATACTCTTAAAACAAACCAACATGCTGTCAGGTATAGTTTCAGATAACCCTTCAAAGATACACTGGTTTTCAGAAGGAAATGAACTTCCTTTATAGGAAAAGCAGCATAAAGAGCACTTACAGCTAGAGGGCAATGATATGTAGATTAAAATGCATCCCCAAGTTTCGACTGAATCTGCATGATTTGGCGTGACTGCAGAAAGTTGCTAGATGTAAACTGTCCATATACTGCCTGATAAGACCCATATTGTGATGAGGCATATTCTCTGAAAGTTCATTTTTCAGGGAAGAGATGCCCAAGGGAGTAGAGGCAGGCAGAAGTATTTATGGCCATGAAATGGTTATTGAACACATGAGATAATATATGCCAGTGGACTCAGCAATGAGGATTAAAATGCTATTGGGTGGGGAAAAGTCTCTCTCATGCAATCAACATTTAACCAAAGGGTTCGACAGAAAATTTATTTAGAGATAATCTAAGAGTAAGTCAAGCCAAGTCCAATCCAGAAGGCACAAGGAAAAAACTCAAGTATTGTTAAATTTAAATCATGATATTTGTTGTGTGCATTACTCTGGTTGTTCTACCAAACAACACAAAAAGGAAAACTTAAAAACTTCCTGGCTACTAAGCTGTCATTCCTGACACTTTAAAAGTCTCTTACAAGCTTTGAAGATGATATCAGCATTTTTTAAACGGGGTCCTCCCTTTCCTAACAGCTGTGTTTATGGTGGCAGGTTTCTGCAATGGTTGGTGATGGGGCAATCCCTTCTCAACAATGCCTATAAATGCACCAATGGTGAGCCAGAAATAAATCACCTCAACTGGTGGCACAAGATCAGAGGGCCAAAATGGATCCTAGCCAGGTGGTAGAAATGCCATGAACTTGTTTGTTGCACTGTGTTGATCAGTGAGTTTATTAGTTTCCAAGGCTTCCCACAGCTCTTTCTCATCTTTTGAATATGACTCTTCAGTAAAAGCTATGACAGAAGCAGAGTTCTCCAATAGATGTTAACTTGATTTATACTTCAATTTTGGAGCTTTTTTGTGCCTTCTGGACTGGAGCTCAGATTAGTTGGCTTGACTCACTCCTAGACTGTTTCTAAATATGTTTTCTGCCCAACCCTTGGTTAAATGTTGATTGCCTGAGATTTTTGCTTAGCTAACAGCATTTTAATCATTTTCCTCTTGTAAATGTTGGGGGGAAATGTCTTCAGTGTATGCAGCACTATGTATCTTCCTACTTCTCACCTCCACTGCTGTTGTTCACTGGCAGTCTTTTACTGAAGGAAAAAAAGAACCCCATTTAAGTTTGCCATTTTGAACTTTACTTCATACATCATTTCTATCTGTTCTTTTTTCATTTAAGACAAAGAGAACTTTTTTGTGTTAAGTATAGCAGTGGCTAATTTATTGGAAAACATCCTTTCTTTTAAAGCAAATTACATTATAATTTGGTAAGGTATTTTTGCTATGTTTTATTTTCACTAGTTAGTGGGATATTTTAAATTCTAAAATTCCAGTTTTTATTTTTCTAAGTACATATAGAGATATATGAAACAATTTCTAATTCTGGCATGTAAGATAGATAGGGATTCCACAGCCTCTTTATCGTCTGACAAACAAAAGAAATAAAATAGATAAAAAATTCTATAGTGTCACTTCCTATCCCTTGTTGCCCTGACTTACATGTGACTAAGAAAAACATCCCTCTCCTCTGAGGAGTTGGACCAAAATCTCAAGCTACTTTTTTTAATTAAGAAAAAAGATGCAAAACTTTATAACTTTTGGTAATTACATGGAAAAAACAATAAATGGGAGGAACTAGAAATACAGTGCCACTAAAACTATGAATAGCACCATAGAGGAGACTCCCGCAGAAAAATACAGTAAACATACTATTATATTATAATAATATAATATATAATTATATGCAAATATAATAGAAACAACCCTGATGGAAAAAAGAATCAGTGTTGACTCCCGGCAACTGCTTGGACAAGTCCCTGCAGTTTTCTTGGCAAGGTTTTTTGGAAGTGGTTTGCCATTGCCTCTTTCCTAGGGCTGAGAGAGTGACTGGCCTAAGTTCAGCCAAATGGCTTTGCGGACTAGAGCGCACAGTCTCCCAGTTTCTAGCCTGATGCCTTAACCACCACACCAAACTGGCTCCGCCTGTTTACTACTGCACTTTACAGTATTTTACCACACTAACTAATTCTATTGTAGAGAGCCATTAAATGACCTTGGGGAAGGCAACCAGAAGCCATCAGGCAACAGGTGCAGACAAAGCATGGATTAAGGGGGCTATTAGAAAGAGCTGCTCCCCCTCCAATTCCCTGGGGTATAAGATGGAGGGGAGGGAAAACGCGAGCAGACTTGCAAAATTCTGTTACTATAGCCTGTCTCAATAAAGTATAGTTCTAATCCCCTGGAGTCAGTTTCCTGGTGCGTCCGCCTTGCATGTCTGACGACTATATTTAGCAGAGCTTTTTGGAGCAGCGGACGGGAGCATTTGTCTAACATGGATACCACGTTATGCTTTCGGCCAAGCTTCCCGAAGAGAGGCCCCTCCAAACCCCCAGCTGGGAATAGCAGGAGTCACCCAGCCCAGCTGGAGGGCAGCCAGGCTGCGAAAGAGCCAAAGGTTCCACGGGAGAAAATGGGCGCGGCTCCCCCACTCCCCGGGGAAAGCGCAGCGCTCCCGCCGCCGACTCGCGCACCAAACCCGCTCCCACGTTGGGCGAGGGCTTCCTTC